TCTCTCTCACTCTCTCTCTCTCTCTCTCTCTCGATCTCTTTCTGTCTCTCTCTGTCTCTCTTTCTCCCTTGCTCTCTTTCTCTCTCTCTGTGTGTATATGTGTGTGTGTGTGTGTGTGCGCGCGCGCGGGCGTGCGTGCGTACGTGCGTGTACATGTGTGTGTCTGTGTGTGTCTAATTTTTCGATTTAAAAAAAAATAAAAACATTTTGTTTGGGGAGGGGGGGGTGGTTGAGAGGTATGCTTCGTGTTGTTGATTATGTTGTTGAAGATATGTAATCTTATAGTTTTATCTTAGTTTAATTTTAGTTTTTCTAAAAAAATTTAGGCACTTGCAACGCAAATAGAAAATATAATATAAGTGTCAAAAGAGCGGGTGTTATTAGAGAAAGACGTAAAGGAGGAGGGGAGATAAGGAGGAAAGAAGTTTGATTGGAAAGAAGGAGCAAGCCAAACAAAATCCCCTGCCAACCACCTACATCCTTTGCTTTCACTAAGCCAGTTTCAAAGGATGGGAGCAGGAATGGTTGGGGCGGGGGTCGACATAGTGTTCCCTGCTGGAGCGGTGGCCATATTGGCTAGACTATTTGACTTTTAAGGACACAACAATAATGATGTAAGTCTCACACCTTTTCTTGACATTTAACTATAACTACTGTGACAGATAATATAATTTCATCAAACAAATTCCTTTATTGAACGTCAACATGGCGAATTACAAGCAACACTAACCGGCAAACAATGTTATACGATAGTCATCATCATACGATAAACTAAATATATTGTACTGAAGAACTCGTATTTCCATTTGAGTTCCTAAAAAATATTTGTTTTTAGCAAGGAGGTTACCGAAAGAGTAGGAAGAGGAGGAACGAGTAGGAGGTGAGTGTGTGAGGGGGAGGGGGGGTGATAGAAAGCTTCAAAGGATCAATATTTATAACATGAACTGCTTTCCCATCTCAGGCACAAGCCTTCAGTATGCAGATAAATATGTGGAAACTGACGCACGCTTGGATTATTCTATGTATGCCTGATGGGTATCTCATTCGAAGTAAGGAAATGCAGCATAATTATGATAATATCGGGGAGGAGGGGGTGGGAGTATTAGTAACGCATGACTATAGCCTATTTTTTAGCGAGTTCATATTAACGTTTAGTTCTTAACATCAACAACGGTTTTTTAAAAATTGTTTGGCAAATAGGTATCCACACCTGTTACCGATTTTTTTTTTAACGAAATAATTGTACAAAATGGAACCTGCCAAAGTAATGTTCAAAACAGAGGCAAACATTGATGACCGAGGCCCCCGCCCAATACACAAACACAAACGCACACACACACACACACACACACACACACACACACACACACACATACACACACACACACACACACACTCACACACACACACACACCGACATAATTTTCATACAAATATCTGTACCAGTGTCCCAAAACACGATTTATCTTTGGTTGGAGAGTAAGAATATGTCTCCTTATGCGCGACGCGATGTCGGGTCCTTGCCGTTCCATAAACAATAGGGTATCCCTAAACAATACTATTATAAAGAAGCCGACATGCGACGCAACGTCTAGCCGCGTGCGACCGTCGCCTGCGATCGGTCCATGTAGTGATGGGGACTTCATCGTGTGCGACAGACAGAGGGTGTGACAGGTTTAAAGCATCACCTTTTGTCTAAATATCTAGCCAAAAAGTGCTGGTCGACTCATCATTATTGAGTAGTGTGTGACGTGGTCGCGCATAAAGATACACATCTCACAACTCATCGCCAGCGACCGACTAGCGGGACACGACGTCACGTCTCGCCTAAGGAAACATAGGCTAGTATATTATAACGTAATAATATCTCTAATGTATCGGCAGTGCAATGATACCTGATCATTTTGTGCAATGCTATCCAACCTTGGCGACTTCATAAAAATATTGATGGGCGGTGGAGATCACCCAAGTACTGACGGTGACAGGTGGAATCTAATGCTACGCTGGGAAATACAAGTAAGTGGGCGGTTTTAAAATGAGAAAAAAAAGAGTGATAAGAAGAAGAATAACGACAACAACGACGTCGATAAAGACAACACAAGGCCAGATCCATGTAAACCCGAATAGCAATAATGCTTATTATTATAATGTTATCACAGCAATACATACAGTAACAAAGTGCCTATTCTCTGACACAGCAGGGCGAACATCTGTAACACCACACCACCCCTCAAACCCTCAACCACCCCACCACCCCACCACCCCACATCCTGTCGTTTATCATAGTGCAATAAGCTATAGTCCAAGCAAATGAATTAAATTTAAAACGAAGTTTAATATACGTGAAGTGTCGAGAAAGGAATGGAATTATAATCCTGTTTCTGGACTTCGCAAACACAGTGCAATTTAATTAACAATCACATAAACTAAAATAAAACACATTTCAACAACACGACATTAAACGCTATACTTCAAGAATCTTTGCAAGAATCGACAGTAA